AGGGACAGTGCCCACGCCCAGAGTTCAGACCCCATGACCGGACCTAAACAAACAAACAACAAAAGTTTTCATTGGAAAAGAATCTCCTGGGCTGGGAAGATGGCTCAGTGGTAGAGTGCTTGCCTTGCATGCTTGAGGCCCTGGGTTCGATTCCTCAGCACCACATAAGCAAAAAGAAAAATGCTGGAAGTGGTGCTGTGGCTCAAGTGGTAGAGCGCTAGCATTGAGCTGAAGAGCTCAGGCCCAGAGTTCAGGCCCTATGACCGGACCCCCCCCCAAAAAAAAAGAATCTCCTAAGCTAGGGAGCAAGTAGCTCAGGAGGCTGAGATGTGAGGAATGAGGTTTGATGTCTATCATGTCACCAATCACTCATTTGCACAACATCTTCCAATGTTTATCATCATATAACATGCTATTATTTTAAATGTAAGGAGAAATCATGTTGGTTCATTACTAATGACAAAAAAATATGAAGTGGTATTAGATCATTTCACCAGAGAATTCCCTACCCTTGAGCACACAAAGCTGTGCTGTCTCCAGTATACCAAGGGATGTGGAACTCCATCAAGACTGCCAACTGAGGCAGGAGACAGGCCTGTGACTCTCACCAAACATTTCTCCCAAACGACAAGACCTGTGACTCATTCTAACCCCACACAGCACACACATTTTACAGAGAAGTTACTTCTACATTTTCTTGATGAGTTACATTTACTACTGTCACTGCCTGAGAAGAATAGCTGCTTACCCAGTAGAAACTGGCTATCAGGACAGAGGAGCAGAGGCAGTGGTCACAGCATGTGTGCTCAGCCAGGGAGCCTCAATATAAAGGCTCAGGACTGCATGATCTCATCTCCTCTGTGGGCATGCTCATCATGTCACCTGGAAGTGTGGTGACACTGTGTGCATGGGGAACAGAGCTTCCCTGTGACAAACACTGGAGAATTGTGGATACTGATGAGCACCACTGAACTTCCATGACCATTTCCAAAAGATGTGACCCTAGGGTTAGGGATGTCCAGGGAATATGAGGAAACTTTTGAAGCCGACCTCCTTAGAAGTGAGTAGAGGAACAGGAAATCTATTGTGTAAGAATGTGACACTTAGAAAATTTATTTGGTGAATTTTTAGGGACTTTTTTCTTTTGTATCCAACATGCAATTTCTCTCTTTAGCAAAACACCACGTTAAAAATAAGAATGGGGTGTCTTTGTCTCAGGCTTGTGATCCCAGCAGCTCAGGAGGCTGAGGTCTGAGGCTGCAGTTTGATTCCAGCTCAGGCAGAAAAGTCTGTGATGCTGGCTTCTTCAATGATGTCAAAAGGTGGCTTGGAGGGTAGGCCACCAGATATAGGAGGTCAGGGAGTTCCTGTATAATAGAGGAAAATATTTATCTTCTGATACCACTGTTATTCCTGAGTACACAGCAATTGTGCCTTTCCTTATTCTTCATTTGGTTAGGGAACTAAAAGTAAAATATCATTAGGAGTCAATAACTGCATTGAAATTTTCATATATCTTTATTATATTGTGGTTCTGTTAAAAAACTCAGGGTCTTTTGTAGGCAAGTGCTTCACTGCTGAGATACTCTCCTGGCCCTCTTTTGTCCATTTCACATAGATTCTTACAGAATACCTTTTATTATATAATTGTTAAAAAAATGATAGAAACAAAAATCTCTGCCAGGTGTTGGTGGCTCTCACCTGTTATCCTAGCTACTCAGGAGGTTGAGATCTGAGAATAGGGCTTCAAAGAAAACCAGGCAAGAAAGCTTGAGAGACTCTTATCTCCAATGAACCAATGGAAAAACAGAGCTGTGGTTCAAAATGGTAGAATATTTGTCTGGCGCAAAGAGCTGAGGGATAGCACACAGGTCCTGAGTTCAAGCCCTATAAATGGCATAATAATAATCATAGTAATAATTTAATGAAAAACGGATCCAAGATATGTGCAGTGGCTCATATCTGTAAGATTGAATCAGGAGGATTCAGGTTCAAGGCCAGCCTAGGTAAACAGTTCATAAGATTCCATCTCAAGTGCTAGCTGGGTGTGGTGGTGTTCACCTGTCATCCCATCCATGTGGGAAGCTGAGATTGTGATGGTTGCAGTTATAAGTAAACTTGGGTGAAATATTGATAAGAAAAAAAGCCTCAACACCTTGGTTCACATCTGAGATCCCAGGTACTTCAGGAAACACATAATAGAAGTATGAGGGTGCAGGCTGACGTGGGTACAAAGCAAGGCTATATCTGAAAAATAACTGAGAAAGAACTAAAGTATGTTGTCGTGACCACCTCGACGGGCAAGGAAGACGCGACCCGGGATTCTTCTCAATGCGGTTTATTCAGGAACCTTGTCTACAAGCTTCTCTCCCGCTTGCTTCTGCCCACTTCTTCCCCCTCTCTGCACCCGCGCTCCGGTTATAAGCCTCCTGGATGGCCAATCCCGAAGTGCCACGTGGCATATACCGATAGGGTTGCAAACATGGAAGCAAACTAGGAGCCAAGTCATAGCCATATAAGGAGTTGTTTTTCTTACAGAGAGCACTCATCACCGGGAAGACGGAAGGCGGAAGCCAGCGCCATCTTTGGTCGCAGCTGCGCCATGCGGCCGCGCCATTTTTGCGGCTGCGCCTTACGGCCGTGCCGTCTTTGGTCGCGGCTCCCGCAGCTCTCCACAGCTCCCCCTTTTTTGTTTTATTAAGCAACAGGTAAGAGTAGAGGTTGGGCCTCTGTCTAAAACATTAATGAGAGGACCTTGCACTGGTCTTCGCCTGAAGGGCGCCTTCCCCAGTGATGACCAGGCCCGTCTGATGCCTTTTTTGCAGAGATGGGATCTTGGGCATCAACCCACTTGCAACCCAACATGCTCTTCTTAGGCTCACACCAGGGAGTGATTCCCAAGTGCAGTGTGTTTGCCTTGCACACTGTACTATTCCTTTAACGTGGCAAGCCAGGTGTAGGGGGACTGTCCGGCCTCAATGGCAGTGAAGGCCTGGACCACCATAGCCATACTCCTAATCCGGCATATGCACCACAGGCACAGCAAGATCACCAATGCCAGGATACCAATAAGGGAGCCCATTCCCACCCACTCCTTCAAATGATCCACAGCTGTCAAAATCCAGGAGGAAACATCTTGTAACAGGGCATCATCCATCCGGGTAGAGTTTATCGCGACAATGGCCGATCGTAGCTGCAACATCAATTGGTCGAATTCCCCCGTCCAGTTGCCTAAAAGATAACTTGACAGTTGTTTAGACAAATTTGCTGCTTAGGTATAGTTATAATACTGAATAGCAGTAATACAAAGCCCTTCATATTTTTGAACACATCCCAGCTGAGCCAACTGCCACAGGATATCAACCTGCTCCTGCACAAGGTCAACCCTTTGATTTAACAGCATCAGTCCTCCTTTTAATTGTGCATTGGCCGCTTGTTGTAAATCCAGAGTTCTGGCTGTAGTAGCCAACAAGTTATTTAAAGTCTGAGCCGTCTGCACAGTATGTGACATGGCGACAGCGGCAGCCATCACACCCACAGCAGCCACAGCTATAGCAGTTACAATGGCTGCAGTGATGGCAAAATCTCTCTTATGCCTAAACAAGGTTACAGCTTGAGAAGCATCTACTGGCACAGGCATTCAAGGTGGGATGTGTGCAACTATAGCTAATGGATACTGAGAACTCCAGCAGGTAGCATAATAGCAGGTTTCATTAGTGCAAGCACATACATCATCTGAGCATACAGAGGTGTTGTTAATTACCAAAAACACAAAAGGGGAAACCACACACACGGGGGTAGGCTGATAGCTAAATACCATATAATTCTTACTAAAATGACAATTGGCACCCACAGTATGGGCAGTACTAGTCAAATTGCAAGTCATGTTTGCTATAAAAAAAAGTGATCTCCTTGCAGCATAACTATAAGCTCGGCCTGCAAGCAACTTCCATTAAGACCACATAACAGCCAATTATTAAAGGGATTAATTCCAGCCCTAAATTGTATACTAGCATTGGACAAAACACTAGGGGAGAATGAAAAACACTCAGACTCATCAGCCCAAACAGCGCGTCGTGATTGGCAACTTGTCCAAGGCCAAGCCTCCCCCATACGGTCAGGGAAGCAAAAAGGGGCCCATTTAGGTTGTTTTACAATCCACAGGTCAGTACTTTAAGCTTTCATAATATCTGCCTAAGACAGTACCAACAAATCCAGTAGCATTTGCCCAAACCTCAGTTGATCCCGGATTCCCATACCAATATCTAAAATAAGCGGCCGGGGAACGAGTCAAGGCCATGCAACTACCATTAAGGGTCACATCACTTAAGCAAAAGCATAGCATGCCCATCAAGCTAATATTTCTAGCTTCACCTATCCCTGCTATTTGTTTATCCTCTGGGTAAAAGGGAAGGTTAAGAGTCTTATTTGTAGTGAAAAATCTAGGGAAAAGAAAGGCATCATGTCTCACGGGCATGGGCCTCGGGAATGCAGACAGTATCCCCCATCTCACTGCCGCCTGTCCCTGTTGGATCATCAGGAGCTGTATGATCAGCAATGCAATCCTTTGTTTCTTTCAGGTTCCATTCATCTTGGACTCGCCGCACAAGTCGTTCAGGCACCCACACTGGATCCGAACGATTCTGAGGAAAAACACAAACAGATCCTCGTGCCCATACCAGCACGGGGTCAGGCCCGTTCCAGAGGCCCGTGAGCACATCCTTCCACAAAGCCGATCCTAAGGCCGAAGGAGTGGAACAGTTATGCCTATCCGCCGCTGAGCGACCAGCATTATCCAAATTCAAAAAATTTAGGGTGAAAAGTGTCATGGCTATTCTTTGTCTTGCTGTAGCCATCAAGGGTCCAGCTCCCCCCTTTTGTTTTATTAACATTTCCTTGATAGTACGATGAGCTCTTTCCACAATTCCTTGTCCTTGAGGGTTATAGGGCAGTCCATGCACCAGGGTAACACCCATTTGAGTGCAAAAGGAAACAAAGCGCTACCCAGTATAGGCCGGACCATTATCAGTTTTTAGCTGTTTTGGCATTCCCCAGGCCACCCACGCTCCCAAGCAGTGAGATATTACATCAGTAGCCTTTTCCCCTGACAGGGGGGTGGCAAGTATAACACCCGAAAAGGTGTCAACAGAAACATGTAGATATTTTAAGCGGCCAAATTCTGGTACATGAGTTACATCCATTTGCCATACTTGTAAGGGTCTTAAACCACGTGGATTAACTCCAAACGTAGGGGGCTTATGGTAAATAATACATCGGGGACACTCCTTTACCACTTGATGTGCATCCGCTCTAGAAAGGGAAAAGCGGCTTTGTAAAGTCCTGGCGTTTACATGAAATTTGGCATGAAAATCTTTTGCTAAATCAACAGAAGAAGCATGGAGCACCCACTCAGCACGAGTGTGTGCATCAGCCAGGGCATTACCCTTTGTCAGTGGTCCTGGGAGGCCTGTATATGCTCGAATATGCATTGGAAAAAAGGGTTCCTTGCGTTGCCAAATAAGGGATTGTAGTAAGGTAAAGGGAGCTAGAACAGAACTGGTAGCCTTTATTGTACCAACCGCTTCCAATATCTTTAAAGCATTTATTACATAGGCTGAATCTGATATTAAATTAAAGGGACAGGGGAAAGCTTTAAATACCTCAATTACAATCATCAACTCAACAATCTGTGGGTTACCAGGGACAAATTGATGCTGCACGGGGTCTTGGTTACCTGCGACGTATACCCCGCATCCCGTTTTGGAACCATCCGTAAAAATATTTATAGCCCCTCCAATAGGCTTTTGGGCAGTTACCTTTGGAAAAATCACTGGATGTTCCTTTACAAATCTCAACAGGGGGTCTTTGGGCAAATGATTATCAATATCTCCTGGAAACATGCATCTCAAAATGGACCAATTATTAATAGTGGCACATAAAGTCTGAACTTGGTAGGCATTGTAGGGAACAATGATGGAGTGCGGATAAACTCCAAAAAACTGTAAACTCTGTTGAACTCCTTGCAGAGCTAAGCCCGCTACCGCCTCAGGGTAATATTCCAGCGCCTTTCCGGGGGAAACATGAGAGTGTAACCACATCAACGGCCCCTCTTGCCAAAGTACGCCAGTTGGTTGGGTCTCAGTGGGAAGAATGCATAAATCAAAGGGTTGGCCATCTTGTAGCCTGTTTAAACAGGTGGCACTTAAGGCCTCCTCCACCCTTTTGAGAGCAAATCGGGCACTCTCAGTCAGGTCTCGTGGGGAGTTTAAATCTCCTTTTAACATATCAAATAAGGGTCTTAATTCATAATTTGGCAATTTCAAATACCCCTTTATCCAATTAATATCCCCCAACAATTTTTGAAAATCATTTAAAGTCTTTAAGTTATCTTTTCTCAGGGTCAATTTTTGGGGCATGATCGACCTGGGATGTATCTTAGCTCCCAGATACTCCACCACTCTGCCTGTTTGTATTTTTTCTGGCGCTGGATAAAGACCCTGTTCCCTTAAGGCAAAAACCAATTCTGCATAGGCCTTTTGTAACCCAGCTTCTTCCTTATGAGCTATCAAAATGTCATCCATATAATGGACCACCCTGAGTTTTGGATGCCCTTTTTTAACAGGAGCTATAGCCCTACCGACAAACAGTTGACACATAGTGGGGCTGTTGGCCATACCCTGAGGCAGCACGACCCACTCATATCTTTGGTCAGGTTCTTCATGGTTACAGGAGGGCACAGTAAAGGCAAAATGCTCACAATCAGCAGAATGCAAGGGGATAGAAAAGAAACAATCTTTTATATCTATTACCATAATAGGCCAATGGGCAGGGAGTGTGGAAAGCAAAGGTAACCCTCTTTGTACAGGGCCCATAATTTGCATTTGTGCATTTATGGCACGCAAATCATAAAGTAATCGCCATTTACCCGACTTCTTTTTTATCACAAATATTGGAGTATTCCATGGTGAAACTGAGGGTCTCACATGGCCCAGGGCTACTTGTTCTTCTACCAGTTTATGAGCGGCTAAAAGCTTTTCGGAGGATAGAGGCCACTGAGCTACCCATACCGGTTCCTCCATCTTCCAGGTAATGGGAACTTGATTCTCAGCGGCCCCTATGAAAAACCCAGCCCATGTCTATCAAGTTTTTGGTGGACATCAATAGGCTCTTTACAGCCTTGTTTTTTCCCAGTCCTTGCCCTGGGCAGTAGCCCATTTGTAATATCATTTCCTTTGAGGTAGGAGAATATTCATTACTAAGGCAAAACCCCATCTCTTTCAGTAAATCTCAACCCCACAGGGAGACAGGCAATTCTAAAACATAAGGCTGGATGTTTCCAGAGTGTCCCTCTCCATCCTTCCAGTTGAGGGGTCTTGCACTTAAATCAGGAGCTTTGGCATAGCCCAACCCTCTCAGGGTTTGTTCTGAGGCCTGTAATGGCCACCCTCTCGGCCAATCCTTTTTTGCAATAACGCTACGATCGGCCCCTGTGTCTAACAGTCCTATAATCCTTTTTCCTTCAATCTCCAGCTCAAGCGTGGGTCTCTGGTCTAAGTCCAGGGCTAGGTACACTGACTCAATTCCGGAGGAGCCAAAACCCTTTTTACCTCTCTCAGACTGTATGGCAGGAAATTTTTCATGTAGGCTAGGCAGGAGTAACAATTGGGCAATTCTGTCTCCAGGGGAAATTGCTACAATGCCTTTTGGAGCTTCTACCATGACTTTAACTATACCTGTATAATCTGGGTCAATAACTCCTGGGTGAATTTTAAGCCCTCTAAGAGTAACGGAAGACTGGCCAAGTAGTAACCCCACTGTGCCCCGTTCTAGAGGACCTTGAAAGTCTGACTCTATTAACTGAACGCCCATTTGTGGGGTTAGTACGAGTCTGGTGGTGGCGCGGAGGTCCAGTCCTGCAGAGCCTGTAGTGGCTCTCCGCGGTTCTTGGGATGCCTCAGGGTAGGCCATCCTTCTTGGGAAATTTCCTCGTTTGGGCTCTCCATTGCCCCATACATTTGCGGGCCCTGGGGACGGGGGCCCCTCTGCCCGTTTTTTGGATGCGTGATGGGGCCCAAGAACTCGCCGTTAACATCTTTGACTGATCTACATTCATTGGTCCAATGCTTTCCTTTTTTACATCTGGGGCACAGCCCTGGCTGTTTACCCGTTATAACTCCTCCAGCCCTTCCGGTTCCTTTTTTCTCTGGGCAATCTCTCTTAAAATGACCAGCCTTGCCACACTTGAAGCATGCTCCAGATGTCACTCCAGAGCTTCCCCCCCGCCTATTTGACTACTGGAGTACTGCAGCAGCAAGGCCTGCATTAGTTAGAGGTCCTCCCAGCTCCCTGCACACTTTCATCCATGCCTCCAACCCTCTATGTTTATATGGGGTAATGGTGGTTTTGCATTCTTTGGTGCATTGCTCATAGACTAATTGTTTTATAAGAGGCATAGCCATGTCAGGATCCCCAAAAATTCTGCCTGCTGCTTCCACCATTCTGGCCACAAAATCTGAAAAAGGCTCGGTAGCCCCCTGCAGGATCTTGGTAAGATTGCCGCTAACTTCCCCCTTATTTGGTAGTGATTTCCACGCCTTAATGCAAACATCATTTATCTGTTGATACACTTCAGGGGGATATCCTGTCTGAGCATTAGCAAAGCGACTTTGTCCTAGGAGCATGTCTCTGTCCCAAGCCTGGTGTCTGTTCGCTTGATTGATGGCTGCCTGGTCATTACAAAATTCCAGCATAAGTGCCCTCCAATCCAAATATTGGCCTGGACTCAAACATGCCCGTGCTAGGCTCGCCCAATCAGAGGGGGTCATGCAGTAGCTCTTTATAGCTTTCACTTGAGCCATGGTAAAAGAGGCTGCAATCCCATATGTCCGAACAGACTCAGCCAGGGACTTAATTACTTTAAATTCTAGAGGCTCATGGAATCTCTGTTGATTATTGTCTTGAAAAACTGGGAAGGCGAGTTCTGCTCGAGCAGTTCACCAAGTGTCCGGGCAAAACGTGTGCCTATCTGCTCCATGTTGATATGGAGGAGGAGCTAAAGGGGTCTGACCAGAAGTTCTTTCTACATCCTCATTAAGTGCAGGTTGGCTTAGCTTACGTTCCCCTTGTTTTACACGGCTCCTTTTCATCTGTTGAATAAGTGCTCTCACTTCTTCCTCCTCTAACTCGCTGGAACTTCCTCTTTCTGATTTTAGCTTGGACAGATCTGGGTATAGTCACCCCCTTTTGCCCTGTTCACTGTCTCCCTTTTCACTAATCGCCTTCTCTGACCTCTCCTCCTGTAACTGCTCCAGTGCTGACTGTCCATTTTCTATAACCTCACAGCAGCTCTGATCCTCCAGGCAGCCAGTAATCAATTTCCAAATGGGGCGGACTCCTGCCTTTAATGTGCCCTGTTCATAGGCAAAGTCCAAATCCCTCCCTAATTTGTCCCATGAGGCTATTGTAAGGCTCCTGGACACTATGAACCAAGGAGCTACAATGTTGCATTCATCAAGGAACCTCTGTAAAGTACCCTTCTTTAACTTTAGTCCTTTTGAGCGTAGTAGCTCTTCCAGGGCCAGAAAAATTGGATGTGACATCGTGGCGCCCATCTCAGTTATAAAAATTTTATTTTTTGTTACTTTCACTTTAGGCCTGTATTTTATTTCTTCCCGGGTTTCCGCTCTCTCTTTTATCTACAGAGAAAAGCCCCGTATTATGCCCGCTTTAATCGCGGATTCCCACTTCACCTGGGAACTTACCCCCGCTCTTGTCGCGTATTCCCCCTTTTCCTGGGAACTTACCGGTGCACCACCCTGACCGCAGAGAGTTCTGAATTCCCCGTACGGGCCACCAGCTGTCGCGACCACCTCGACCAGCAAGGAAGACGCGACCGGGGATTATTCTCAATGCGGTTTATTCAGGAACCTTGTCTACAAGCTTCTCTCCTGCTTGCTTCTGCCCACTTCTTCCCCCTCTCTACACCCGCGCTCCGGTTATAAGCCTCCTGGATGGCCAATCCCGAAGCGCCACATGGCATATACTGATAGGGTTGCAAACACGGAAGCAAACTAGGAGCCAAGTCATAGCCATATAAGGAGTTGTTTTTCTTACAGAGAGCACTCATCACCGGGAAGATGGAAGGCGGAAGCCAGCGCCATCTTTGGTCGCAGCCACGCCATGCGGCCGCGCCATTTTTGCGGCTGCGCCTTACGGCCCCGCCGTCTTTGGTCGCGGCTCCACGCAGCTCTCCACAGTATGTCTCCAGTAATCAATCCCCTACCTACCCTAGCAGTGCAGGGCACAGAGTATAAACCCCAGTGCTGCCAAAACAAATTATGATCCAACTGTAAAATCTACTGTAAGGTATGGTTTAACCAAATTAGGAAAATAATTTTTTTAGTGTAGACATAAAATACCAAAGTGAAGTGGGTGTCTCTGCTGATGAGTACAAAGGGGCTCAAAATTGAGAAGCATGCATCCAGGAATACAGCCGTGTCTATAAGCCATCGGGCTGGCTTTCTATGTGAACTAAATCAAACAGTGAAAATGGCAGAGAGGCAGTAGAAGAAGACGAACATGCTCACCAGGGCCAGGATGGTGCTTGTGGCCCTGGCCTGGTGGCTAGGTCTTTGGGAGGAAATGGGGCTGTGAATGTGCCAGAACATCTCTTTGTGTCTGTGCAGGACAAGGACCATAGAGCCACTGGCCCACATCATGAAAAGCAAGCACATAACATCAATGGAAGAGAATAAGGCTACCTGTAATGAAGTTGTAAAGGGTTGTGGTGAGCCTGTGGCGCAGTAGCTATAACGCATGTACAGTGACATTTTGTTTGTGTCTTGGTCCAGTCACTCTCAGAGGCATAAACATTTACCAGGAGCTGCAGGATCCAGAAAAGGGAACCACAGAATCCAAAGCACTTGGGGAATCTATTAGTGATCTTCCACCAAGCATTACTTTTTATTTTTATTTTTTTGGGTCCGGTCGTGGGGCCTGAACTCTGGGCCGGGGCACTGTCCCTGAGCTCTTCAACTCAAGGCTAGTGCTCTACAACTTGAGCTACAGCGTCACTTCTGGCTTTTTTCTTTTTGCTTATGTGGTGCTGAGGAATCGAACCCAGGGCCTCATGCATGCAAGGCAAGTGCTCTACCACTGAGCCACCTTCCCAGCCCCCCACCAAGCATTTCTAGTGCAAAGCTTTGAGACCTGGAAGCCACTCAGAAGGCAGGTGGCATTAAGAGAAACCCCTCTGGCTACTCTGTGAAAATACAAAACAACTTTACATCCGGCCTCATCCAGGAAGTACTTCCATCCCAAACCTGCCATTGTCTGAGGGATTCCCCTGGATAAAACAACCAAGTTGTTGGCAAAGACCAGATGGTGGTGGATTGGGTCTGTGGGCTTCATCTGCTGTCCAGTGAGGAGGGTGTAGCTATGAAAGGAAAAAAGAGAGGAGTTTCCCAGGATCCCAGCTGCAGTCTGAGTGAGGAAGCCAACCCCCATCTCCATGTTGGCTTGAGTCTAGGAAAGAATTCATTGTATTGTGAGACCAAAAATACAATAAAAACAAACAAATATCTATGACCATGCAAGCTAGCTGGGCACTGGTGACTTATGCCTTTAATCTTAGCTACTCAGGAGCTTGAGATCTGAGCATCATGATTCTAGATCTGAGACTTATGGTTTGACAAAGCCAGCCCAGGCAGAAAATTCCCATGACACTCTTACCCTCAACGAACCACTCAAAATTAGAACCAGTGCTTTGGCTGAAAGTGGTAGAGCAGTAGGCTTCACATTGCATCCAGTCCTCAGTTCAAGACCTTAATAAAAAACAAAAAGCTATCCAAGCCAGGTACCAGTAATCCTAGCAATGCAGGAAGCTGAGTTCTGAGGATCACAGTTCAAAGCCAGTCCAGTCAAGAGGTCTGTGAGAGTCTCATCCCCATGTAATTAAGATACTGGGTCAACTTGTTGCTAAAGTGGTCACTGGCACCATCTTGTCTTTGTGATGAGGGAAGATGAATTCCCACACACAAATGATGGGGGCATCCTAGAGGCAGTGGCACAGACTTGGACAATAGATACTGGACCTGTCAGTCCTGTGCCTTGAACTTGACTCTTGATCTCCCAATGACACTGCTCCATGACCCTGACCCTCTCTAGGCCAGAACCATCTCAGGCTCCATTACGCCATGCCTCCTTCCCCTGCTCTTCTCCAGTAACCATTGTGTCCCAATTCAACTCTCCATAGGAGCTGCTATGTTTTGTTGATGTTGTTTTTCAGCTCTGTCTCCTCTTGCATGCCTCTTTTCTGAAGGTGTTAAGTGTATTTGAGGGGCTGCAGGTCTTTGTGACACAAGTCTACATGCTTTCGTTGGTTCTCCAGTAAGACTCCCAACTCAACCTCTCAAAATGTGGTTTCTCTGTTTCTCATGACTGAATTCCCATACTACACATTTGGCTACCATAAAAGCCAGAAGTTGAGCCATATTGCTTTGAGCAAAAAAGTCCATGCATAGTTGCCAGGCCCTGAGTTCAAGCCTCAGGACCAACAACAATAACAGCAAAAGAATTCCATGAAATGTTATTTAAGATGCATGTTAGTGATACAAACAAATACTTGATATAATGGTGAGACATCAACCAACATCTTGCCTTTAAGGAACATTATTTCTTTTCTTTTTCTTTTTTGTCAGTTGTGGAGCCTAGGTGCTGTTGCTGAGCTCTTGTTTGCTCCAGGCTAGTGCTCTTCCACTTTCAGCCGCAGGTCCTGGTTTTCTGATGGTGAATTGGAGAGAAGAGTCTCAGGGACTTTCCTGCCTAGGCTAGCTTCCAAGCAGGATCCCCAGATCTCAGCTGCCTGAGTAGCCAGGATTAGAGACCTGAGTCTGAGAAGGAACATTGTTTCTTATAACAAAGGAGCTTATCTTGGCCTGTGAATGTGGCTTTGGGGTAGAGTGCTTGCCTTGCATGCATGAAGGCCTGTGTTCAATTCCCCAGTATCTCATAAACAGAAAAAGCCAAAAGTGCTTGAGTGCTAGCCTTGAGCACAGAGAGTTTCAGATATAGTGCCTAGGCCCTAAGTTCAAGCACCATCACTAGGAAAAAAAGCAGTTTATCTTAGATTGTAGGAGAACTTGTCAAACCCCATCATCTTAGACTTTACTCTGAGCTTCTGTAACTCCATTTTGCTTATGACTCCATCTTAAATAAAGGACAGCTCCTCTACCTAGTTCCTTAAGGTTTGACATTAAAGATATAGTTATCCCTTGTTCCCTGTTTCCTTTACAGTCTCTAGGTAAGGATCATAGAGATAGTCATAGAAACAGGTCCTGTTGCCCTTGCTTGAAGCTTGCTTACAGCACTGATTAGTGTCTGTAACGTCCTGCTTGGTTTGCACCTGCAGGAAAGAACTGTGAGGGACTCTCCACCCTGGACTGAGAAAGGGGGTGGGTTTTCTTCCTTTTTTTTTTGGGTTTGACATTGGGCTTGAACTCTGGGCCTGGGTGCTCTACCTCATCTCTTCAGCTCAAAGCCAGTGCCTACCACTTGAGCCACAGTGCCACTTCTACTTTTCTAATGGTTAATTGGAGATAAGAGTCTCAAGACTTTCCTGCCTTGGCTGGCTTTGAACCAGGATCCTCCGATCTTAGCCTCCTGAGTAGGTGGGATTACAGATGTGAACCACTGGCTCCAGGCTGTGTTTTCTGCTTTAAAAGGGGCCCTGAAATCAGGCTTGGAACTGCATTGGGAGACCACAAAGCCATATTGGGGTTGCTGGCTGGCTAACAAAGACTTTTATAGCCTGTACTCTATGTCTGCGAGGTCTCTCCTGGTGGTCCTCCCCACAACAAGAGAAAAATAGTTAAAACTTTGTAAAACAACACTTAATAAGAAAGATGAAAAGAAAAGGGCAATGTCTTGATGTATCCACATCACAAATAACAACAAAGACATACTGTATACAAAGGATACACAGAAACTGCACAATCTTCAATTTGTTAGTTTATTAGCAAAGAAGTATAGTTTGAATTTACTCTAGCAATTTCAAAAAAGAAATCCAAAGAAGCCAGGAGGCTGAGAGCTGAGTATTACAGTTTGAAGCCAGCCCAAGCACACAAATGTACAAGATATTTTATCCACAATTAACCCCCTAAAAGGCAGAAGTAGAAGTGTGTCTCAAGTGATAGAACAGCAGCCTTGAGTGAGGAACTAAGCAAGACACTGAGGCCCTGAGTTCAAGCCCTTACGCTGCACATTCCACATGCCTGTGGTTTCTGAATATTCGGGGCTCTTCAGTGACTCAGGGAGAAGAGTACTCTCCATCTCTCTGATCATAAACAGTTCTCAAAGATGCAGAAAGGATGGGATGAAGTGCATTCTGCTCCCATACATAGATAAATTTACCCATCAAATACAGTATCAGGTCAAAAGATTTCATTGAAAAAAGAACAACCTAAACTATACGTTGGAGGCCCATGGCTGGTATCTTACAACTCTGGAGGCTAAGATGTCAGGACTGAGGTGTGGAGCCAACCCAGGGAGGAAAATCGACTTTAATCTCCAAATAACCACTAGGAAAAAATAAAAGTGATGCTGTGTAGAAAATGGTGGAACCATATCCCTGAGTGAAAAGCTTAGGGACATCACCAAGGAACTGAGGATAAGTCCCATAGCTGACAAAAAAAATATCCTTCAGTAAGATGCAGGGGAATAAGAGAGAAGCAGAGCAAAATAGAAAACATTGAGGAAAGTGGCTGGAATGTGAATGACAAGCCAAAGTATTTTTAACTAACTAGCTTCTTACATTCATATCATAATTTGTCAGGTCACAATTTCTTCTTTTGAAAAATCTCTTCCAATGCCTATCATAAAATAATATACTATTGCTTTAACTGTAGGCAGAAATCACATTGAGACATTACTCATGACAGCAAAGTATGGAGCTGTGTTAGATCATTTCAGCAGAGAATGCTCTACCCCTGAGCACACAAAGCTGTGTGTTCTTCAGGTTATGGAGGGATGTGGAGCTGCACCAAGACTGTTAACTGAGGCAAGAGAGAGGCCTGTGACTCTCACCAAACATTTTTCCTAAAATTCAAGACATGTTCTTCATTCCAACCTCACACAGCACACACATTTTATAGAGAAGTTACTTCTGCATTTTCTTGATGAGTTCCACTTACTACTGTCACTTGCCTGACAAGAATAGCTGCTTACCAAGTAGGAATTGGCTGTCAGGACAGAGGAGCAGAGGCAGTGGTCATAGCATGTGTGCTCAGCCATGGAGCCCCAAGATAAAGACTCAGGACTGCATGATCTCATCTCCTCTTTGGTCATGCTCTTCATGTCACCAGGAAGTGCAGTGACACTGGGTGGGTGGGGAATAGAGCTTCTCTGTGACAAACACTGGAGAATTATGGATAATGATGAGCACCACTGAACTTCCATGACCATTTCCAACAGATGTGACCCTATGGTTGGTGACGTCCAGGGAATATGGATAAACTTTTGAAGATGATCTCATTAGAAGTGAGTAGAGGAATAGGAAATCTATTGTATAAAAGAGTGAAATTGAGCAAATGTCTTTGATGAATTTTAGGGTGATTTTTTTGTTTTTGCCTCCAAGATGTGGTTTCTTTCTTTAGAAAATGAGTATTTTAAAAAAATAAAAAAGGTGGGCACCGGTGGCTCAAGCCCATAATCCTTGCTATTCAGGAAGCTGAGATCTGAGAACTGCAGTTAGAAGCCATCACAGGAAAAATAGTCCGAGACTCTTATCTCTAAAATCCTACTGAATCAATCTTGGTGCTGGTCTCTCATTCCTGTAATCCTAGCTACTCAGGAGGCTGACATCTGAGGATCATGGTTCAAATCCAGCCAGGGCAAGACTATTATCTCCAATAAACCACCTGAAAACCAGAATTTGAGCTTTGCTCAAGTGGTAGAGTGCTAACCTTGAGGTGAAGAGCCCAGTCCCAGAGTTCAAGCCCCAGGACCAACAAAAACAAAACAAAAACTTACTCAGACAAAGCTGTAAGTGCACTGTATCTCAAGTGGTTGAGCACTAACCATGAGCACAAAGAGACTCAGGACCAGTGCCAGTGGGCTGAGTTCTGCCCCAGCCTGCGGGGTCGGTCAACAAGGGCTCGAAGAGGAACTGACCTGAATGAGAGACAAACCAGACATGAGGAAGGAGACCAAGACAGGGTTCTGATCAAGGTCTGTTTATTGAACTTACAAGTAGGCTTAATACTATAAATGAAAGAGGAGGTGGTTGCAACATATTGGTAACAGTTTTTTTTACAAAAAAAAAAACAGGATGCAGGAGGGTGGGGTAAGTAAAAGATCAGTAGCTATCTTTACAATAAATCGATATCTTATGAGCTGACAATTGGCTTTGTGGTTAAACAATAACTCTAGAAAACAATAGCTTTAGGAAAAGTTTTACAGTGGTCTCTGGCAAGTCCCCCTTCTTTTATTTATTTAAAAGGTTGAGCAGAGAAGGG